TCATCCTAGACCCCGCTCATATAAAACCCACTCACACCTTCTGTCACTATCTCTCCTCCTACTTCTAGCAGCTGGTGATGTCTCACCCAACCCAGGGCCCTTCACCTCGTCTGCTCACACTAAGACGACCAGAAACCATACAAACCTCATTCACATACCCTGCAGTTTATCCTCCTTTACCAACATTCAGTGTGCACTCTGGAACGCCCGTTCAATCTGTAGTATTATTTAGTCAACAACCATACGCAACCTTGTCATCTCTAACTCACTCACAATATTGGCACTCACAGAAACCTGGCTGTCCCACTCTGATACCGCTACCCCGGCTTCTTTATGTTTCGGTGGACTAAAATTCTCCCACACTCCCAGACTCGACGCTAAAGGAGGCGGTGTAGGCATCCTTCTTTCCCCTCAATGTACCTTTCAACCTATTCTCCCTGCCCCTGCCCTTTCCTTTACTTCCTTTGAAGTTCACACTGTCTGCCTTTTTAAGCCCACTCCTTTAAGAATTGCCATCATTTATTGCCCCCCCCAGTCATCCTAGGCTATTCAGTGAACACTTTTCTTCCTGGCTGCCCCACCTTCTATCCTCTAGCACTCCCTCCCTCATACTTGGGGACTTTAACATCCCAATCAACAACAACTGCCCTGATGCCTCCTATCTGCTCTCTGTAACCTCCTTCTTTGGCCTCACGCAGTTGTCGACTTCAGCAAATCATACAGCAGGAAACACTCTTGACCTCATCTTCGCCAATCTCTGTACCATCTCTAATCTCTCCACTGTTCAATTTCCTTTGTCTGACCACCATCTACTAACTTTTGACATCAGCATACCCCGTACCAAATTTTCACCACCCTCAACACTCCAATCTCGCAGAAACCTCAACTGCCTTGATCTCCAGCAGTTCTCCACCAAACTCAATACTCTCCTCTTACCCATCTCAAATCTAACTTGCCCTAACTCGGCTACCTCACTCTACAACTCTCTTCTCTCAACTCAACATCATGGCACCTCCTACAATTAAACGCAGCAAGCGCCCCCAACTACAACCCTGGCACACCAAACTGGCCCGTTACCTCCAAAAATGTTCTAGAACTGCTGAACGCTGCTGAAGAAAGTCTCACTTTGCATCTGACTTCCTCCACTATAAATTTATGCAGCGCATAAAGCCTGGCTCTCTTTGCTGCAAAAGTACATTACTTTAATACCCTCGTAAGTACACTGTCCCATCAACCCAAACACCTATTTCACACTTTTGATGCTCTTCTTCACCCTGTTAATCCCCCTACTTCTACCACCTTGTCCTCCACAAACTTTGCATCTCACTTCACTGAGAAGATCTCTGCAATCAGAGAAGAGATCGCTAATTTCTCTCCTTCCCCTACCATTACATCACCCAACCCCACTCCCTCCTCGACTCTACACTCATTCACACCTGCTACAGCAGAAGAGGTTTCTGCTCTGCTCTGGTCTTCCCGCCCCACCACCTGTTCCCTCAATCCTATTCCTTCGCATCTCATCTGCACTATGTCTCCCTCTCTTGCTCTTCCCCTCACTAAAATTTTCAATCTCTCCCTTTCCTCTGGCACATTTCCCTCACCCTTCAAACACGCAACTGTGACCCCAATTCTAAAAAAGCCCAGCCTAGACCCCAACTCCCCATCCAACTACCGCCCTATTTCGCTACTGCCATTTGCCTCCAAGACCCTCGAGAGAGTTGTGTACACCAGACTGACTGACTTTCTCGAAACCAACTTCCTGCTTGACCCCCTTCAGTCTGGATTCCGCACTGGTCATTCTGTCGAAATGGCTGTGACCAAAGTATCCAACGATTTAATTGCTGCTAAATTTCGCTGCCATTACTGTATCCTAATTCTCCTTGATCTTTCTGCTTCCTTTGACACTGTTGATCATCAACATCTTCTTCGCATTCTCTGTAATTTTGGTCTACAGGATACTGCTCTCTCCTGGTGCTCCTCCTACCTCTCCCAGCGCTCTTTCAGTGTTTCTTTCTCTGACTCTGCCTCTTCCCCTCAACCACTCTCTGTCGGCATCCCCCAAGGTTCTGTCCTTGGTTCCCTACTGTTCTCTATCTACATTGCCTCCCTTGGTAAACTCATCAGCTCCTTTGGCATCTGTTATCATTTCTATGCGGATGACACGCAAATCTACCTGTCCTCTCTTGATCTCTCTCCACCCTTCTTGACTCATGTCTCTGACTGCCTCTCTTCAATTTCCAAATGGATGGCTGCTCACTTCCTTAAACTCAACCTGTCCAAAACAGAACTTCTTTCCTCCCTCAAGTGTTACTACCCCTGTGTCTGTCTCCCTCCAAGTCAATGGCCCTACCATCACCTCTACCTCGCAGGCTCGCTGCCTGGGTGTTATTTTTGACACCAATCTCTCCTTCACCTCTCATGTCCAATCAATCGTCAAATCCTGTCGAAGTATGTCCCATCGAGGCCCCTACGCTCTGCCAAAGACCTACGTATATCCTCTGTCCGTACTCCCACCTCTAACACTCGCCTCCAAGACTTTTCCAGGGCTGCACCTCTTCTGTGGAACTCCCTTCCCTTCTCCTTAAGAATTTCACCCAGTCTCCACTCATTCAAAAAATAATTGAAAACTCACTTCTTCAAGAAAGCATATCAATTCAACTGTTAGCAGGTTTTCATCCCCCACCCTCCATGACTCCGCCCCTGCAACTGTCAAAAATGACCTACTAAGCACTCAATTAATACTTTTCCAACAACCTACTTTATACCCCTACTTTTACCCTTTGTGACACTATACCCCACTCCCTCTAGAATGTAAGCTCATTAAGCAGGGCCCTCCACTTCTCTGTTCCTGTACGTCCAGTTGTCTGGTTACAATTACATGTCTGTTAGTCCACCCATTGTACAGCGCTACGGAGTCAGATGGCGCTATATAAATAATAAAATAATAATAATAATAATAATAGTTTGACTATTTTGACTGTAAATTTGAAATTCAGTTTGAATTCACTTTGACTTCTAACTTTGGTAAACAACCCTTTGTTTAATGACTTAGTCACCCGAATCCTACAACTAATTCTGTGTATCCAACAAAATAAAGTATTCCAATTAAGAAACAACTGTATTCATTTATTGTATTTTTCATTTCAAGTATAACGTTCCAAAATGCCAATTTATTATAGACACAAATCTATGTGCACAAGAGATCAACCGACACGGGACATAACCAATAGTTACTTTCACTTAAAGCTCTCCAATCCAGAGATATCACTAGTTCTGATTCTATAAATGTAACATACCATCCAATAAACCACATAGGAAGCCAGATCTCTGGTTTATTAAGGGATTAGGCAATATATACATCTTTCATAAACACAAACCATAAATGTACATTTCATAAGCAGTGCTTTAAAAGTGAAACTAAAACTAACTGAATAAATGTGCCAAATCTTGGCTGTTTGGAATCTTTTAAATCCGAATGCTGTTTTTTTGTTTTTGTAGCAATTAGCGTTCTGAATATTGACATGAACTGTGCTTCTGTAATCTAGAGAAGGCATTTGGGGTTATTCAAGCTGCAATCTAATAGAAATAATATAAAGTAATAAACTATTAAGCCAGAGAACTGCATCAAGAAACATTACAAAATGAAATCTGTATGACCAGACCTTCCGTGATCTAATTTTTAGAGTGCGTAAACATAAGTAATATTAGCTGTAACACTTTGATAAAGATAAAAAAAATATGCAGCCACACAATTTGGATTAGGTCTGCAAAGAGCACATTAGTGGTCCTAGTGTACTTAAATAAAAAGAATGTGTTCAGCAAATATCCAGTTGTCATTAACTAAAAAAACAAATTGCAAAAGTTGTGACCTTTGTTGAGTTTTTTCAAAATCAACTATTATTACTTAAATATTTTTTCAATTTACTCCAATTTTGTGTTCAGTTAATAAACTCTAAAACAATGAAAATGTTGAGCCTATTGTTCATTGTCCCCCAGCGTCACTAGCTTAGTGCTCTGTTTAGTGGACTAATGGTGATATTGTACTCTGTTAGCAACACAATGTAGACATTCTAGCTTCCAACACATGGCCGTGACTTACAGCTTATTGTCCACATAGAGTAAATTAATATGTAGCACAGTCAATAATAGCTTCTGTTGCATTTCAAGCCACAATGCACAGGAAGTGTGGGAGTGGGAATAAAAAAACCACTGTGCAGAGAATGTGTATTTGTTAAACTGCTGACAGAGTAGGAACGTGCAAGTACGCCCAGAATGGATGTACTGTTGTTGATGATGATGAAATCACTGCTTATTCTCTTCATTATCTTAAGCATCATCCCCTTTCTTCTCCTGCAGCAACTTAATATGTTGAGTGAACCATTCATGAACAGGGTTTGTTACTAAATAAGATATTGTAGTCAAGGTCATACAAGAGACAGAATAGTTAGTAGAGTGGTCGCCTTTAACTCCTCTCTGTTGGCAGTAGCACCAGCAAAGACATGACAATAACATCATAACCGCAACATCATGAAAAGTACAGTAGGTGGTGCTAGAGCAAATGTATATAGTTGTAGAATGAAGAATATTGTGTTCTCTGCATAATTCTACAAGTAGTTACTCTACTAATTGTCTGGTTATTGCAGAGAGTTTAGTATTCTGTTTCAGATACAGTGTCACCAATCACTAAAACAACTGCAGCTAAGTTACCACAAGCACCCACAGGCCATTATTGTCTTCAGAATTTGAAAAAATAATCAGGGAATTTAATTTCTCCCTATTCTTGTGAGAGAAAAGGGGATGGGTGTGACAACCTACCGGTCAATTTGTTTAGAGGAACTCAGCTGAAGTGGAATGGCAACCCAATGCCAACACGACATTCCTGAAAAGAGCAGACAGGAAGAGGAGTCAGGCGGTTCAATGGTCCAGGATGGCAGCAAAGGAACTAGGTCCAGAGTCAAGCAGAAGGTCAGAAACCAGTAGATCCATGAAAAGAGAGCAGGATGTCAGAAGCCAAGGGTCAGAGACAACAAGCGTGGTCAGGGTCAAACCAAAGGTCAGACGCTGATTTCCGAATTAGGAACCGGAAATTAGGAACCAGGAACCGAAACAACAACCAGAATCAGGAACACGAACTAGGATCAGGATCAGGAACAAGGACCAGAACACCAGGGGAATGGAAGCAAGCACCAGAACAACCAAACACTGAATAAGTGCAGTGCTTGGCTCTTTATAGGGTGAGATGATCATATGAACAGACCGCACCTCTTTGCAGACAGAGCCCCAATGCAAATAAAGGAGGGGAGGTGACTATTCACCAGTCCCTCCCCTCTGCCTGTCCAGGCTGCCCTCCCCCATCCCTCCTGTCATATTGCCGCGGTGGTACCAACAGTGGGCAGCAGTGAGGAGAGCAAGAGGAGCAGCAGTAGAAGCGTGCAGGGACTGAACCGCCAGTGCCGTGACCCCCGAGGACGTTGCGGAGAAAGTAAGTGGGGCCTTATATTGTGACAATGGGTTTCAAAGAGCCCTGGCTTTTGGGCCTCATATAATCTCTACAATAAGTTCTGTAGTTGTTATGGTGCTTAGCATGTCTCTTCAAACTTCAAAGCACTGGAGGTTTTAGAAAATTCAATGGTAAATTTAGTATCTGAAGCAGACTGTAACAAAATCTATATTAAGACATGCTTCACGTTGTTTAGAATTCTAGTCTATTAAAATCAGTGTTTACAAATTGTCCTCAGCACAGAAACATATTCTGTACAAGAGATTGAGAGTGCGTTCTGCAAAGAGCATTTGGGAAATACCAAGTTATAATGAGTTTGGCTAAAAGTATTAAACCTTTCATTGCCAAAGGGATGATCGCCTGACTCTGAATGTAATATCCATATAAAAAATAGAGAAATGCATTCTTTAACCCCTTAAGGACACAACTTCTGGAATAAAAGGGAATCATGACGGAATATTTCCATCGTGTGTCCTTAAGGGGTTAAGGGGTTAAAAGACGTCAGGTATAATCTACTGACTTTTGTGGTTAGACATTTAAAACTGTGTTCTCCATATATAGGTTTCTAATATATTAAATAAATATTAGAAAGAAAAATAAAAGACTAAAAGTCTACTATACTAGCCCATAAGTGGTGACTCGCAGAATGTGTTTAGGAGAAATGATAATGAAAGGGTATGCACCCCTGTAATGATATAATGATGTATGGTGTTAGAGTTTACATTCCTATTTATGACAATCAGCAGAGAAAAGACAACCCAAACTCTGCAACACTGTATTTAATCAAAAGGTACATCTGGCAACACTTTGACTATGTTTTTAGCGCTACAAGTTTAAATACATTCCAAGCACCAATAAAACTTTAATGCATTTGATAGGTTTGGGCCTCATTAATATGCTCTGTTTTTTCTATTTTATAGTTTTTGCATAAAATAAGTAATTGTTTTGTCAGAATGCTGCTCCATAAACCTGCCTGTTTAGCCACGCCCCCTGACTCCAGAAAAATACTTCCTTATCAAATGTATGTACATTGCTCAGCCACTGACAGTACTGAATGATCTGAGCAACAAAACAACCTGCATTAGAAGGAGAGGACATCCAGGTAGACACATAGTAATGATATAAATAGCTGTTTGTCATTTCTCTGACTGCTTGCAGGCAGTTTGTGAATTAAAAAACGCTCACTTTGTGCTATTGGGGCCAGGGCCGGCGCCACTGCTAGGCGAACTAAGCATTCGCCTAGGGCACCGGCCTCCTGGGGGCGCCCACCGTGATGTTTCCTGGTGGGCTCCCCCTGTCTGGGGCCACAGCACTGGGGAAGCAGCTCTTGAGCCACCCCCTGCACCAGGCCGATCCTCAAGGTGGGAGCTCCGAGAGGAGCTCCGAGAGGAGCACTGTCACAGGGGGCACAGGAGATGGCTATCTGGGTGCCCTCAAACCCCAGACTCTGCCAATATAAGAGCAGGCACCTGCTTACCTTGATGGCAGATGCCTGCTCTGTCAAAAAATGCCGGTAACCGGAGGAGAGGGGACCAGAGCAGGAAGGTGGCAAGCTGTTCTTGCAGCCTCTCACTCCTACCTCGTGCCCTCTGTAATGCCGTGAGCATACTAAATAGCGCGCTGTATGAGTGAGGATCTGCCCCACACTGGGCCCCAGCAGGGACGTCAGTGTTTAAGTGTGTCAGTGAGTGTCTGCCTGTGTGTGTGTTTGTCAGTGAGTGAGTGTATGTCTGTCAGTGACTGTGTGTTTGTGTGTCTGTCAGTAAGTGTCTGCGTGTTTGTCAGTGAGTGAGTGTATGTCAGTGATTGTGTGTATGTGTGTGTGTGTCTGTCAGTGAGTGAGGGTATGTATGTCAGTGAGTGTCTGTGTGTGTGTGTGTGTGTGTGTCTATCTATCTGTCAATGAGTGAGTGTGTGTGTGTCAGGGAGTGAGTGTATGTCTGCCTGTCAGTAAGTGTCTGCATGTTTGTCAATGAGTGAGTGTATGTCAGTGAGTGTGTGTGCGTGTGTGTCTGTCAGTGAGTGAGTGTATGTATGTCAGTGAGTGTCTGTCTGTCAATGATTAAGTGTATGTCTGTCAGTGAGTGTGTGTGTGTGTGCCAGGGAGTGAGTGTATGTCTGTATGTCAGTGAGTGTCTGTGTGTGTCTGTAAGTGAGTTTATGTATGTCAGTGAGTGAGTGTATCTCTGCCAGTGAGTGTGTGTTTGTGTGTTTGTCAGTGAGTGAGTGTATGTCTATCAGTAAGTGTCTGTCTGTGTGTGTGTGTGTGTGTTTCTGTCAGTGAGTGAGTATATGTTTGTCAGTAAGTGTCTGTGTGTGTATCAGTCAGTGAGTGAGTGTCAGTGAGTGAGTGTATGTGTGTCAGTGAGTGAGTGTATGTGTGTCAGTGAGTGTGTGTGTCTGTCTGTCAGTGAGTGTGTGCGTGTCTGTCAGTGAGTGTGTGTGTGTCTGTGTATCTGTCAGTGAGTGCCTGTCAGTGAGTTAGTGACATGAGGGGGCGGCAAAATTGATGTTTGCTTAGGTCGGCAGAAATCCTTGCACTGGCCCTGGTTGGGGTCTGTGCATACCTCTGATAAGGAAGTATTTGTTAGGATGGGTGTAGCTAAGGAAGCAGGTATATGGTGCAGCATTCTGCAAAGTATGTATTTTTTTGTGCAAAAAATAAATGGAAAAATGCAGCATATTAATGATGCTGTATAAAACACCAAATGCATTAATGTGTATCGGTGTCCAGAGTGTCCCTTTAATTCCTCCAAAACATGTAGATAATGAGTGTTGCAGTCAGACATCAGCTCTAGTTATATAGACTGATAAAGACTAATCATTTCACTATATCTCAATAACACAGGTGACCATAAGATTTTATAATATTTTATGTATTTAGCTGACTTGAGAATTCTTCCAATTTTGCTATTTTGGCCTAAAAGTTGAGTTCATTTTGGATTTATATTGAATTCCAGACAGCTCACACCTTGGTGAACAGCCCTGTAAGATTGCTTGATGAATCTCCCTGGATCTCACAAGTCACTTGGTTACATTTTGACTAATGTCCATGTGGAATCCTCCACTTTTACTGAATTTACTTTTCGCCACAATTCCGAAAACCACTCACTAGCAGTCCATATGGTTATTCAGTGGAGAAGTTTGAGAATTTTTCTAAGTCAGCTATTTTTGCCTTAATGTTGCAATTTAGATTTAATTAACTAAAGGCAAGAGTTTACTGAATGTTTGAATTTAATTATTTGTTGGTTATGATGATTAATTGATGTTTTGTTCATATCCAACAAATATAAGGTTTTTTTAATTAAACTAAACCTGTTTTGGAGTGGATTTGTTTGCAGTTAGAAATAACCACATCCTTATGACATCAGAGGCTTAGGTACTTTTAAAACAGTTTGACACAGCCAGACTGCAGCCTTGGCCCGCAGCACCATATCCAATACAATTGGCTGTAGTGGTTATGGTACTAGGAGTATGTTTTTAATTGAGAAGCTACTAGATTGGCTCAGTCACCACTCATCAAATACCGACAGACAATAATTATTTTCGAGCTCCGAACTATAGCAGACTTTACAGGACATTTTTAGTGTTATTGTAAGATGTAAAATAGCCGTATGTGGGAATCCACTTATGAGTCAACCTGGAAGAGAAAGGGAATCCTTAGATGTGGCCTGAGGGAATGGTTTGAGAGAAGTATGTTAGCTTCCAGGCGGCCCTGATCACTTACTCAGCATTACGCAGTCATTACACCAAACATCAATTTCCTATCACAGCTCTGAGAATTCGAAAATAAAATGACTCATAGAAAACTAAGCATTCGCAATCCCAGCTTTCACAAATTGGACGTTTGGAAAAAAAATAAAAATAATAATAATAATATATTAATAAACACATTTGAAAACATTCTAACAAGACGCAGGTGGGTATAAGTGAATTGAGGTGAAAGTAAAATGTGCTTGACAAACCAATGATGTTTAATTGCTCCTAAACTATGTGGGTTTTATTAATTAAGCATTTAATTGGACTCTGCTAATATAAGACAAGCAACACCCCTTATTTTCTCACAAAACAATTCAATCTATCAAATACTCAACCTCGTAGTAATTATTTAACAAGTCTGCATCGCGCCTACATTGTAATTACAAATAATAGTGAAGTGAACATTCCTTTGTCATGATGTCAGATGATCATATCTTACAATATAGGAACTTCATTCACGATCTATGCTATGTCATTGGAAAAAAAACAATGAAAAACACCCCATGTACCTGCGTAGCATGTATTATCGAATTGTCCACCAGGGTACTTTTTGATCCGATAAGAAGAGAAAATGCCCAGAATACTTCTGTTGCTGCCAAGTTTGGCAATGATCTCGATGCCAAGTAAACTTCAGAGATCGATATCTTTGCTGTATTTTCCGAATCAGGATTCTTCTAAGCAAGGATTGCCACCTGGCATATACCAGCTCACATTCTAACTAACACTGCCTAGGGAGATAAAGTTATTAATGTAAGACAGCCTGAGATTTATCCATCCCCCCACAAACCATGAGAGTTCATTAAAGGAACTCAATAGTGTCAGGAATACAAACTGAGTGGCTGCTACTAGAGGTGGTCCTAGCAGTATCGTAAACACTGCCTATTCCCTGAATTAACATTAAAAAACCTGCATGGACATACTATACACACCAGAAAAGCTACAGTAAGCTGT